AATGAGATAGATGAGCTGAGAACAGAGATGGACGAGATGAGGGACAGTTTCTTTGAGGAGGATGCTTGTCAGCTTCAAGAAATGCGCCACGAACTGGAGCGAGCCAACAAGAACTGCCGGATCCTTCAGTACCGGCTGCGCAAGGCTGAGCGCAAGAGGCTTCGCTATGCCCAGACTGGCGAGATTGACAACGAGCTCATACGCAGCATGGAGCAGGACCTCAAGGTACAGACGTGAGCAGGTGTCGAAGGGAGGGAGCGCCTCAGACGGAGACACAACCATGCTCTCAGTCCTCATGAGTCAGGCATTTCCATCCATTCCACTGTGCACCCAGTGCGCCTCATAGAATAGCAATGGCCGAACTATCCTTGGTAATAGAAGCCCTTCCAGTATGGAGATAGGCTATTTTCAGCTTCAGTCCAACCATGTAAAGATAATGTGCAAGAAATGATTCCAATGCAATTTAGGAACTAAAAGTTTTGGACCCTTTATGCTGAACGCAAAACATACCCTTCCACTGCGAAATGAAACCAACCTCACTGAATAGCTCCATTGACTTGGGAGGGATTATGTTACTCTTTAGTAAAAGATTTCAAGGGATGAGCAGATTGAATACTTGCAGAGTCACAACACGAAACCTTGATGCTGTTGCTGTCTGTAAAAAACTGCTGTTACGTTCAGCAAATCCAGGATTTTCCACATCCCCCTGAAACCTTAGACAAACCCCATGAGATTTCAATGTGTAATCAACTGCATTTCGTCCATAAAGTCTGAATGAATCACAGCCCATTGTTGAGGAGAAGTTTCAGTCCTTGTTTAAAGATTGTCATTGGTAAAATAGCCATCATCTCCATTCTAGACTGGTCCAATTATGGGGGAAAAAAAAGCTTTCTTGAGGTAGTTGCAAGTTTAATTTCTGCTTCCATCCACTAGACTTTGAAAGGCTCCTGCTGAACCAGGACTTGTAAATTTTTTCAATTGACTGGTCTCCCACCTTTTCTCATGGAAGTGTAGACCTCTGTATAGCAAATCTGAGCTTACTGGCTGCACTTCTGCCCAGGATTCTAGTTACCTATGTGCATTGGATTCTGTGAACTGCAGTTGAAAATGCAAATTTAATACAAGATTTGGAGTAAGGTAATTTTTAAACTTCTTTCTGATTGGTATAGTGGATTGAGAGTATGTTATTCCCAGGCCTGGCTTGGATCATCTTTTCTGAAAGTTTTCCATCTTGTCATCATTCTTATTAAAATTTCTATATGATATTCCTTTTCTGTGCATAATCAAACCCTGCGTTTTCTGTTGTGGCTGTGACAGTTCTATAAATACGACTGCCCACATGGCTCTTAACAAAATAGTGTTCCTGACCAGAAGCGAAAACATCCCTTTGTCACAGGGATTTCTGTTTGAAACAAGGGATGTTTTGCACACTCAGAAAGATGCTTAAGTGCTTAGTTGAGATATGCACCTTTGCAGGCAGAATTTGAATGTGAGCCTTCATGTTCCAAGTGAATATTGTGATTCCAGTTTATAGAGTTGGCTTCTTTGTTGGCTCAATGTTACTTTGTATTAGCAAGTTATACATATGCAGGCAAGCGAGGGAAGTGGTGAGAATACCTCTGCTGAGGTTCTTGCCTGCCAATATAGGAGATAGCAGCTAAGGCCTTAGGTTGAGCTGGACAAAGGGCTCACTTTAATTAGCATTTTCCCCATGTTTTTATATAACTATATGACTGACTATTTGGGAAGGAATAGTGTTTTTGCAGAGTGTTCCCAAGGATCCTAAATGTGTTCTGCTTTGAGTAGGGATGAATGTCTAATGCCAGATTGCTGCCTAATAGAATTCTAGGTGCTGGCTAACCATAGTAACAATTCATGCACAGGTGTCTGTAGTGTTCCCAAGTCCTCTTCTGAAGAATGACTATCCAAAATAACATTGTTCATTTTGCATGGGCAATATATTAGAGGACTTGATCCTTCATAGATATAGTCTTGCATGTAGCTGTATTAAAATGTATCTTGCATAAGTGAGTCTCATTTCCCGTGCAGCCTAGGATGCTCTGTAGGATTTCCCTGCATTAGTAGCTACCCATCAAATTTTGTGTCAGAACATTTGCTATCAGTAATGATATTTTAATTCGGTTTTATTTACCTATCCAGACTGTATCTATGGACTAAAGACAGATTCTAATAGGATGCTGTTTAAAATATCCCCCATGATTTCCCATTTACTTTGATTGGACAACCAGATGAGCAGTTTAACACTAAGTGTAGGAAAAAACATCAATCTAAAGCCCTGTGGTGTGATTCTCAGCTCATTCTGTAGTCTCTTTGGAGTATGGGTATAATTGAAATTCCCCTCCACTCTCACTTTCTGTTGGGCATTATGTGTCTTGAGTGCATGTGCAGTGGGGGAGGTTGGTGTTGTATCTGTAATTCACACACACTGGGTTTCTTGTCAGGGGAGGCTGAGTCACTAACTGCTACTGTTTTCTGATTGGATTCTTCCAGGTTGATTCTTCTAGACTGCTTGCTTACTATTATTATTTTTCTTTAGCGTTTTAGTATGTCAAAGAAGTCTCTGACATACTAACATAAAGATCATTCTAGTCAAAGCCATGAAGGATAGCTCACTGAGCTCCCCTAGCTAATGCTAAGTAGGATTAATTATGCTTTCCCATGTTCTAAAAAAAGCAGAAAATTAGGCTTTTCAAATCATGTGTCTATGTGTCTAAATCACCACCATAACAGTGATTAGTGTATATTTAAATATTTTTGGTGTGTGATTATAGTTTCTCGTGATTCCACAAAATGCAGTGCAAGTGCCTTGGAAGGCAAGATTCTCATTACTTTCTATGAAGAAGAGGAGTCAGATCTTGTCATATGCCTTTTAACTCTATTCCTGTGAAAATGCATTAAAAAAAACCCCAGCAACCAAAAAACCTTAGTGTTCATTTTCATTGAAAATATTGGACATCATTTGGGTGAACACAAGGTCAGTAAAAATGTTGTTTGTTCTTATTTTAATCTTAAAATGAACCAATTGTAGTGAATATTTAGATTAACTGTCCATAAAGGAGAGAGAAATTAGCAGAGTAGAAATAAACACGTGTCCATTTGTGGTCCTATACAAAGCACAGTTAGGGAAGGCCTGGAGAAGATGGGCCCTGCTTTTCGATGCTGTTGCATGTCAAGTATTTGAAGGGCCTATGCTTTGGTGCATTGAAAGACATAAACTAGCTGTGGTTCAGAGAAGATAGGTGATGCACTGTCTCCAGGAATATTGAAGGTCCTGTTTAACTGTGGATGTAACAGAACCTCAGAAGGAGTTGAGGTTTAGTGTCTAATGTGATTTCCAGTGAAGTCCATAGGAACAATGTACCATCTTTTGGAAGGAATTGCCTTGAATTTGGAATAATTTAGAATTCTGTCTGTGGATGTCCTTGTCTACATGGTTCCTTACATACCACTTTCATCAAAACATCCAGAATTAGCCTCTAAACGGTTGCTTAGGCACTAAGCACTGCAGCAGTAATTTATTTTTTAACCTTTCTTTTGATATACCATTTTGCTTAGGTTGCAAAAGATGTATCAGTGAGACTTCATCATGAGTTAGAAAACGTGGAAGAAAAACGTACTATAACAGAAGATGAAAATGAAAAATTAAGACAGCAGCTTATAGAAGTTGAAATTGCCAAACAAGCACTACAGAATGAACTGGAAAAAATGAAAGAGGTTAGTATTGCTATTTACTTCTACACCAATTGTTTGAAGATCTCAAATTCTTATTGCTGAACTAACTGTTTTTCTTCTCTAACTTGTTTTGGGGTCAAAAAATATGGCAGGCAAAAGTTGAAAGTTGCAAAGAGTGCTGAAGTGCAACGTGGTGATTGGGAAGTTAAATACAAACTAAAATATTCTGTGTTTTCTAGGCAAAACAGAAACCAAGTTGTGGCTTTGTTTTTCCTCTACGAGGAGGGAAATATGACACTGATGGTAACAAGAGTTCACAGCCTTTGATACATAGTTCCTATGTAAAGATTCATGCAGGAAGAGTGCTGAAGTGTGCTGAGGCATCTATATTTACAGATGAAGTTCCCCACATGTTTTTACAAAGACCAGTAGTTTTTCCCTTACTAACTCCTAGCAGGGAATAGCAGGCACCGAGACTGGGGATCTATCCACCTCCCCATCTTGTTCAGTCATGCTCTTTGGAGTTATCTGGAAGTGAGAGACTCTACCTGGTCTTTCAATCTAAGCATAGTTTTACATTGTATCCAATTAATCTTCAAAATTACTCAGTTTGCCATTATATAAATGCAAGATACCGTGCCATTAAGTAAGCAGAAAATTGCATTACAGCAGTAATAGCTAGGCCAACAGAGATAACAAAGCAGGCAGTAAGAGGAGAAACTGTTGATTAAGAATGAATTCTCAGAACAGCTTCTAGGAACAACTCTCCAGTTCAATGTTTAAAAATCAATGAATGCCACAGATTTTCACTTTTAGGAATATAGGCCAGTAGGAATGCCAGGGTCTTCTTTGATCTTTTATGAAGCAAAAGAGATGTGTTTCAATTGTTAAGAACAACAGGAAATTTTCAGTTGTATGATAAGTTAGGGTATTTTTAGAAACTGCAAGTGCTGCCTTTAAGTGATGTAGTATTAAAAATATTAATATATTTTTAGTACAGGAACTGAATTTCAAGAATGTTAGTAGACGATTAACAGGTGGTGTGTTTCACCTTTTGCTGCTATCCCAGATAAATGCAGATTTAAAAGGGCATGAAATCTGAGCCTTATTCAGCTTTTCTCTCATCTCCCTGAGACTTTCTTCTGTTTTCACTCTGGTTTCTGCCATCAAAACCAACTTGGTTTCCTGGACCATTTTCTTTGTGAGAGCATGATCTTTCTGCAATTATCCTTGCAGCTTGTGCTTTAAGATTGGTTTTACTCAGAATTTTTTATTATTCTTGTCCATTCAGACTCTACTTTCTTGTAGATCCTCATCTTTGGACCCTCCTGCCCTCTACTAGGTTGTACTGCAGTAAGCTTCTTTTGCCTTGCTTCTTCTTACACATCCTCAGATTACAATGAAGTTTAATGCAATTTAATAGCTCATGTTCTTTGATATTAACCAATAAATAGGCTTCTTTATCCTTGTCATCACTAGTCACTTTCTCCTTATCCTGATTCTTCCCTCTGGCCCACTATGCAGAACTATGGTTCTGTTGCTCTCATACTGTTCTCCAATTCTTTCTCTGGCTTAGGTGTTTACTCTTTCTGTTTTTGCAGTTGGTATCAATGAAAGGATAGTGAAGATTCCAAAAGAGAGAGTATCATGTTTAAACTAGGGGCCGTGCTACACAACAGTGGTTTTTATGAAGCTGAAACAGATGGATGATTCCCACTGGCACAGAATGGGGGCACTGAGGCAGAATGAAAAAATGAAGTAAGACTTGATACCATAGTAGAGGTGAAGTGGACAAAAAGACAGAAATATACATGCTTATACTGAACTGGGGAGAACTGCCGTGCACAGTCATTATATGGGTCATCATAATTAGGCAGGAGTTTTCATTTATGTACTTCAAAGAGGTTGCTGAGTCCGTTTCAGTAGGAGAAGGCTGCTTTTCAGGCTAGGACTTTCAGCACAGCATGGGGGAAGTTGGAGGATAGTTGGTACAAGTCAGAGAAAAGCAAGTTTGAAGCAAAGCTAAATTATTATGCACTTTGCAAACATGTCATGACTTGGGGAACCCATGGAAGCATGCTGGTAAAAAATACTAATTCTTACAGAACTGAAATTTAGAATCTGTGAAGAAGCTAGGAAAATGTTAACGTGAAACAACTATGAAAACAACCCAAAGCCACGTGAAGTGCATTGGAATTTTTCTGTGACAAATAAGTTTTCTTCTTCTGTGGCAATCAAAGGTTTTGTGCATCTTAAATGTCATTGTCAGATAGTCATAATATTAATTTTCTATTTGCTTGTGAGTTATTTCCTCTAATTTCATGGGTTTACAACCCTTTCTCATTTCAATACAGCCATTATAGTCAATGGAACCTCCTACCTAGGGAAGTTCTACTCAGCATAGATAGAAATGAATGGAAGATCTTTTGTCTGGATTGTGATCTTCACTTTTTTGAGGTTATAATTAACGGCAAAGTTAATCTCCAAAAACAACGAACCATTTTTGTTTCACAGCATAGTAACAGTGCTCAGAATGTGTAATGACTGATTTCTGTACTTTTATGTTATTAAATGTATTGCAGAAACACAAACATTTCCATTCTTCTTAAAATCTATTTATGTATAACTGCCATGGGAAATTTGTTCTCCTTTTGTAATGAACAGTGTGAGATAGCATAGAATAGTTAAAATAAGAATTAATAGAAAATGCAAGAAGCAGAAGTACAATCTTTTGTTAGGTAGTCTCCAGGGCAGGACCAAAGCCAAAGTTCTCTCTATGTGGATTCTCAGTTGTTTTAAAAAGCATGGAGACTTGACTGGAAACTTGTATAAAAGATAAATGCTAGCAGATGTGTTTGTGTAGAGTCAAATCTAGAGTTCTCCAGTGAACATTTTTGTGAATATAGACATGTGAATGTATTTGTCCGTTAATATAGAGAGGTAGTTGCTATTGGCTCTCTTGATTTGGAGCTTTATTTGTATTTATGGTAAATTTCACGACAAATCAGAAATTGTTGTTGATGACAGCAGAAGCTTGCAAGCATCCAGGATTTGGAAGGTGTTCCAGCAATGCATACATTCTCTATCAGCTACTTTTACATTCAGTCCCCCAACCTGCAGCTATTTGATTTAATGTTATTCCTGCATATGTCCACACAGATACATGAGATTTTTAATCTGTATTGGTTTTATTTGTAGCAACTGCTGCTGATTTCCTCTTCCTCCTACTGAGAAACCAACAATAGCTAGATGTAATTTTTCAGTTATATAAAAAGAAGTTAATGTGTTATTAATTAATTAATGTTCATTACTTTGTTGTTAACTTTTTGGCAAAGCCTAGCTAACTCTTGTAAAGCTTTTGGTATCACAGTACAAACCAAGAGTTCATTTGTCTGCTGTAGCTGTGTAGGAAGCTCCCAGTTAGCTGTGCTTTAGGTGGCTTGTTGCAAGACAAATGAAGTAGGGGGAAAATATGACAGATGTACTGAACCCTGGTCTTTACAAATCCTCATTGCAATGCAGACATGTAATTGCGAGAAGCTCAGTGTTTTTCAGGGACATCCGTCTTTCTGGATAGAGATAGATTGCTCTGCTAGTGCTCCAAGCTCAGTTCTTACAGCCACTTAAGGGTGATGTTGCCAAGCCACCATTTTCTTCTTCTAAGCATAGAGTATTTGGTCAGAGATAGAACTTGTGATAACCATGGCTACATGGTGCGTGAACCAGAGATGTCTTTTGTCCCTTCAGTTCAGACTGCAGGCAGAGGAGTTTATGCCTCCCTGCATGGGTCTGCGTTTTGCTGGAGTGGTGCCTGTCTTGTCAGTCTGTCTCTTTGTACACTGCATGGAAATGGAAGAAGGCAATACGGTCTGGGGAACTGGGCATTGGAGCTGGGAGGAAGAATCTGAATTCTGTTCCTGATTTAAATACTAACATGCTGCAGGACCACAGGAAAATAATTACACTTTTCTGCTTATTCTTGCAACTTTTGCCTGCCGTTTAAGCACAGATTAGCTCTCTACACCTCTCTGAGTGTTCAGGCTGCACAGAAATCAGGAGGGTAGCTGGAAATTTCACCACAAAAGCTGCTGTAAAAAATCCCCACAAACAAACCCAAATTCCACCCTCCCCTTCCCCCCCCAAAAAACCCTCAAACAAAACACCAAAAACCCAAAACTGGAAAGCTGTGAAAGAACTGGTAATGAGTGTTTCTGCCCCAGTCCTCTTATGACCAATACCAGCTTGCCCAGCTTGTCTCTGATAAAAATCGAGTATCTCTTCTTTCTCACAGCCCTTTCTTTCTCTAAGCCCCTTCTCCTGTCATTTAACCACAACCACTTATTTCAAGTCTTTCATCTATAGCTCACAAAGCCTCGAATTCTCCAGGTTCTCTCACTCGGTCTTGATCTTGTGTCTGTTTTTTCTTTTCTTCTTTTTTTTTTTTTCATATGCATGGTAGTAGTGGCTGTTTTGCTGTCTACTGGTTCTTAAGTCTTAGTCTTGTCCTTCTCCCCCACCATTCCCTCCCTGTATCCTTCCAACTCCTCATAACTGTCCAATCTCCTCTCCAGATTTCAAGTATATTCCAGTTCATTTACCCCTTATTCTACTCCAGATATATTATCCGCATTTCTTAGTTACAACTTCTCTCTGCTGCAAAATTTTTCCTTTTCCCCTGATTCTTCCACTCCCTCATATAAATCTGTCAGCTTCCTTAGTTTGTTCTGTTCCTTTCCTTATTTCCAAGCCTTAGATCTTCATTTTTGCATCTGGAGTGAGAGCTGTGGAGGATCACTCACTGTGCTAGGAGACAGCAGCTATATCACTGTGAGCAGTGAAGGGAAGATTTCTGATTCTAATGTCTAGACTCAGCTTTATCTAGACTCTCATGGAACAGCAATCACAGGACTAGTTAGGCTTTACCTTCTGGCCTGGAGTTGGAACATGATCTGTCAGCTGGAGAAAATGTGCAGATTGATAGCTGGGGTGGGAGAGGGTGTGGTAGTTCATAAATATAGAATTTTCAGCAACTTAAACTGGTA